AGAATTCTAGCTATTTTTGATAATGTTTTCAAGATTAAAGATATGTAGATACAAAAATAAGAAATAAAAATATTTATTTGGTTCCCAATGGTCTGTCAAAAAATACAGATATGTCAAATTACATTTACGAGTTAACAGTATAAAAAATGCTATAAAAAATGCTACTCGTACATAGTTTTTATACAATTGGATTTACAGATGGAAAAATCCAGTGTTCCATAAAAATGATCAACAGAAAACTTATAGACACTCACATGGGGGTGGACCCCATGTGAATTAAAATATTGTAAAAAATAACCAATCCACCCATGTATATGTGTATTCTATATCGTTTTTAAACACAATTTCTGAACGTGTAGCTTGGCTCTTTACAGATGCTGAGATGACAGCAGCCCATTGACTTATTTAACTTTATTTTTTGTCTAAAATCTAATGAACTCTTGTCGGGTAATTGGCACAAAACGTACATACCTTTCATGTCTATTGTGAAAAAGTTCCTACATTTCATTTTTTGACATTTTTGCCCCTACATTCTATCTTTCTTGGCACTGAACGTCATTTTCGCTAATTTTGGACAATTTTACCCTCTATTCAAATAAAACAAAAAGAAAGGAAAGGAAATAACAAATAACTAATTGTAACCACAGCCCCTAATTTTTAAAAAATTACAAAACAGTCACAAATATATACAAAATTTTCAACATAAGTGCCAACAACACTTGACGTATAATGCTTCTTTTTTCGAATTTCATTTTCATGTGTTTAGGCTAAACCTCTTTCATCTCGTTCTCTCCGTCTTTATCATTTTCCTCTCTCGACTAAGTGGATCTTGGGCCAATTTCATCTCTTCTTCACTTGTACAAAAGGGTTTCTAGAATTTTCTTGGTGTTCTCTTTCTGGGTTTTCTAAATCATAGCTTAGAACAATAGTAGATTGATCTTTCCTCTTGAATTTTGATACACATCGTTTTGCTTTTGGGTATTGTTTTAAGATTTTTCAACTGGATTTGGGCTTATTTTTCGATAACAGTGATAATTTGAGGTTGATATTTGCATTTGAAACATTAAATTTCGAGTTTAAGGATTTTTATTTTAGAATTTGGGCTCCATTTGATTCACAAGGAGTACACTGCAGCTTCTAAGACCGTCTTCTCCGCATTGAGGTATCAAAATTAAATTAGATGATAATATTAATAATTACAATGATAATATTTCTTCTACTTCTGTTAATGGCTTCGCATGAATGAACTTTTGCAAAACATTTTTATATAATCTAAGATCCAAAAATTACCGGATGGGCTAATACTGTTCGAGATGTTTATCTTGGCATCTCTAATTTGACAATTTGGAAACCAAACTGTTAAATCATTTTTCTTGATTTGTTGACGAAATAGGTGAATGGCATGTCAAGTGAAAGTGAGGAAAAGATGATGTCCAAAGATAGCGCAAATTTAACATACATCGAGGAAGATACTAGTGGAGGAAATGTGGGTGAGAATGGTCCACTTAAAAAAGGTCCCTGGACATCTACAGAAGACGTCATTTTAATTGAGTACATTACCAAGCATGGAAAAGGGAACTAGAATGCAATCCGGAAGCACTTGGGGTTGACCTGGTGTGGAAAAAGTTGTTGCTTGAGGTGGACGAACCACCTAAGACTAGATCTAAATAAAGGTGCATTCACTCTAGAGGAGAAACTTCGTATCACTGAAAATTTTGTATATATTTGTGATTGATTTGTAATTTTTCAAAAATTAGGGGCTGTAGTTGCAATTAGTTATTTGATGTTTCATTTCCTTTCTTTTTGTTTTATTTGAATGGAGGGTAAAATTGTCCAAAATTGGTGAAAAGGATGTTCAGCGCCAAGAAAGGTGGAAGGTAGGGGCAAAAATGCAAAAAAATGAAAGATAGAAACGTTTTCCACAATAAATATGAAATGTAGGGACAGTTTGTACCAATTACCCAACTCTTGTCACATGTCATTCTGTAAAATAGCCTATTCTTTACCTACTATGCACGCAGCATTTCTCTAATAGTGCATCAGTGGCAACAAATTTAGACCCCACATGCAATTATGACACTAGACTGGCCACACTGAACTTCAATTTCACAAAATAGGGTCACTT